GTGAGTGAGTAATTGAGTGAGTGAGTAATTGAGAAAGTGAGTAAGAAAGTGAGTAAGTGAGTGAAAAATTGAGTGAGTGAGTGAATGATTGAGAAACTGAGTAAGTAAGGAAGTGAGTGAGTATGTAAGTGAGAGAGTAAGTGAGTGAGTGTGAAAGTGAGTGAGTGAGTAAGTAAGTGAGTCAGTGAGTAAGTGAGTGAAAAATTGAGTGAGTGAGTGAGTGAGTGAGTGAGTGAATGATTGAGAAACTGAGTAAGTAAGGAAGTGAGTGAGTATGTAAGTGAGAGAGTAAGTAAGTGAGCGAGTGAGAAAGTGAGTGAGTGAGTAAGTAAGAAAGTGAGTATGTGAGTGAGTTAGTAAGTACGAACGTAAGTGAGTGAGTGAGTGAGAAACTGAGTAAGGAAGGAAGTGAGTGAGTATGTAAGTGAGAGAGTAAGTGAGTGAGTGTGAAAGTGAGTGAGTGAGTAAGTAAGTGAGTCAGTGAGTGAAAAATTGAGTGAGTGAGTGAGTGAATGAATGATTGAGAAACTGAGTAAGTAAGGAAGTGAGTGAGTATGTAAGTGAGAGAGTAAGTAAGTGAGCGAGTGAGAAAGTGAGTGAGTAAGTGAGTAATTGAGCGAGTGAGAAACTGAGTAAGTAAGAAAGTGAGTATGTGAGTGAGTTAGTAAGTACGAACGTAAGTGAGTGAGTGAGTGAGAAACTGAGTAAGTAAGAAAGTGAGTGAGTGAGAAAGTGAGTAAGTGAGTGAGCGAGTAAGTGAGAAAGTGAGTAAGAAAGAAAGTGAGTGAGTAAGTAAGAAAGTGAGTAAGGAAAGAAGGAAGGAACAAGAAAACATATAAGGTAGGTAGGAAACGAAGAAAGGAAAGAAAAGCAGGATGTCAGCAGAAGGAGGTAAAGACAAGAGGAGACAGGATGAAGAGCACACACAAGGAAGGATACAGAAAATGAAANGAGTAAGAAAGAAAGTGAGTGAGTAAGTAAGAAAGTGAGTAAGGAAAGAAGGAAGGAACGAGAAAGTAGATAAGGTAGGTAGGTAACAGAGAAAGGAAAGAAAAGCAGGATGTCAGCAGAAGGAGGTAAAGACAAGAGGAGACAGGATGAAGAGCACACACAAGGAAGGATACAGAAAATGAAATAAGGATGGACTTATTTTATTTAGCTCGTCTGGTCTTGCTTCCTGGCCTGTTTTCCCATCCTTTCTTTTTTCAATATGTAAGGGCACAAGAAAGGAAAGGGAGGAAACCAGAAAGGAAGACAGGAGGAAAGCAGAACATAATGTAGAGAAGAAGGAATGACACCGTAAAGGAAAGGAAGAAAAAAGGCATTGGTATAGATGGAAAAAAACGACAAAACAAGGAAGGATGACAAGGCACACTACAGAAAGAGGAGGACAAAAAGAAGGTGATGGACACAAAGACAGTCTGTGCAGAAGCTCTGAACAAGTGGCAGCAGCCTCAACAAGCTTTAATGTAAGTAAACCTGTGCTTACCTGAGCTGAGGTCTATGTTCTGTCGGTCCTCCTCTAGTCTGCGAATTTTCTCCAGGAGCTCCGCCTTCATGGCGTCAAACAGCAAGGAGCGCTCACTCTGCAGCACACACATCATTTAACCTTAACCCCACCGTCAGTCACTCAGGGTCACATGGACCGGGGTGACATGGACGTCAGATCAGGCAGATGTTAACTAAAAATGACCCAACCTAAAGTTAAAAGACCAATCCTGAGCTGCTGGATTTCTACAAACCTGTCCAAATTTCACAGGAAAACCATTTGAGAGCTCTTAAAACATCTCTATTTTGTTTTTTTGCAAGACCCTTGGTTTAGATTTAAAATAACTGAAAATAACTTTTGATGCATGGATAAGAGTTGGAAGAGATTTCCCTGTAAATCTAATATGAAAACAAGGATTAACGATGGCTTAATCCAGTACTAAACTCTCTGCAGCTCCAAGCATTTTGAGCTCAGCTCTGGATGCGTTGCTGTGCATGAAAATGGATCACCTCCAGGTGTTGCCTCGCCCCTTGAACTTCACAGTCGTACTTGTGTTTGATGACCTGCATGCACAGCTCCTTGTATACCCCTGCAGAAAGAGCCAGAAACAGGCAGACAGACAAGTTAGGATTCATAACTTTAACCTGGGGAAGTTGATGAACAATAATCCCACCTAATAACTGGTGGAGAAAGGCACCAGCCTCCTGAAACCCTTCAAGGTTAAAGCACTTCTAGACAACAGGTGGATGAAGACATTTTGATGGCAGTGTTTTATTCAATAATAAAAGGTTCCTCCCTTATTTCTCTTCAGGGTTGACAGCTTTATTTACCTGCTACTTGTGTTCGTATCTGCATGCTGTTCTGTAACGCATCCAGTGGCTCTCTGTATTCTCCTGCCTTCCCAGTCAGCACCTCGTCCAGCTTCACCTTCACCTGGTTCAGCCGCTCCCTAAACAGCCTGGAAGCACACCGTGGGGCCGCCTCAGATTGCTGAGAATTACAATACGGGCATGAATTTAAAAAAAGAGGGAAAATTACTTCTCTTTGAGCTCCTGGAATTGTTTCTCCAGATCCATCATCTCGTCCAGGCACTCTCCTCTTCTCCGTTCGCAGTCCTCATCGTCCATTTCTTCACAGAGACACAAAGACAGAAGACAAATTTAACCTTTATCCAAGGCTGGATTGATGCTAACATTTTGTTTTTGCCCACGGGATTTTCTACCTGAACTCTCCTCTTCCTCCTCCTCCTCCTCCTCTTCCTCTACCTCCTCACTCTCCTCCATGTCGCTGTCTCTCTCCTCCAAGCTCTCCTCCATTGTCTCCTCTCCTCCTCCACCCCCCACTGTCTCCTCATCCTTTGGTTCCTCCACCTCTCCATTGGCTTCGGGGAGCTGCGACTCTCCGTCTGCCTCCATCTCCTCCTCCGGCTCCCTCTCAGCGGGTTGAGCAGGCATGATGGGCTGGAAACAGGAAGAAGAGATGAGTCAAATCTTCAGGAAATGGAATATGTGGTCTTAAAAAAGTGTTAGCCTTCAGCCTCTCTGAGCTCCACCATAAAAAAAACAATCTCAACAGAGCATGATGCTGCCAACACCTTGCTTCCCTGTTGAGATGGTTTGTTCAGGGTGATGTATAAGGTTTCCTGTATGCATTTCTCGCGTGTACCACAAGCCTTTTAATGTCAGTCTATCTGGGAAGTCAGCTTTTCGCATGATGAACTGAACAGAGCTTGTTGAGGTGCTGAAACGTGCTGTACCTAGTTTTATCAGCTCACCTCAATCGTATCCCTGACCCCTCATGCTGTGTTCATTAAAGCAGTATTATGCTTTTTGATGCCGGCAGGAAAAACTGGATGTTTATTAAATCCAAGATGCACAAAGATATCCAATTTCCCTACCAAGACGCAACTATGCACTGCTTTAGAATGTATAAAATATATTAAGGTTTGTAGTTATGTGACAAAATCTGCAAAAGTTCAAAAGGAGTGATTACTTTTGACAGACACAATACTTCTTAACAGAAAACTTAATAATTACAACTTATGAACAACAGACTGCATTCTGCATGAACACTGGTATAATTATGCAAAACGCATAAAAGTTGTTGTGTTTCTTTAAGAGCAAATAAAGGAACAAGACAGATACTGTTCATTTATTTCATTTTGTTTAAATATTCTATTTAAGTAAAAGAGGCAAAAAAAGAAGAAAAAATACAGTGATGAATTATGATTCTGTGTCTTTAAATGTAACATGTTAAATTGTTTAACACACACAAAACCCCAGGGTGAGTCTGAAAGTGTAATAACATTAGTTTATATTCTCTTTTATATTTACTTTAAGGACTTTTTTTATATTAACCCTCTCCAGGCAGATGTTGCAGATTTGCAACAGCTAAATCCCACTTAGCTAATTACTCCACATCCATATTTTAAGAGCTTTTGTTACTCAAAAATACATCAAAAGGACTTAGTTGTGCATTTGCAACAAACAGTTTCTCTCCAGCTCACCAGTTAGCACTGCTGAATCACTTTCAACATGGCTGAGTCCTTGGTGTCACTGAAACAGATTTTCTAAGCACCAATTTCATGTAAATATCACTACCAATTTCCATTATTTTGAAATCAATACTACATAAGACGAATCATGAATGTGTATAGATATGACACATGCCAATTAGTAGATTTTATCTCCTCTGGGTTTTTCACCAGAGACATCTCAATTTCAAAGTTGTGGATTCGCAACGTGTGCCCAAACAGGTACCAACGTATGCTACATGCTTTATCTACTAGTCTGCCTATATTTTGAGCAACAGTTTAACAGAAACGGCCTTCTCAAGAGGTTTTGAGATGTCAGTAGAGAAAAAGTTTGAGAAAAATTTGTCTCTAATTTTGTGAAAGAATTTTTTTTTCTTTGAATTTCATTTTGTTAATTTTTTTGTTTGTGACATTCATATAAAGTTAACGTTCATATCAGATTCAGTCTTAAGTGCTAATTTACCACTCCGGGCCACTGTTGCAAATCTGCAACATCCCAGAATTCATTGGATGTAAAAGTCTCTCTCAAAAAAAAAAGTTTGAATTGTATATTACTATCCTATATGACCATTTTCTCCAAATATCAGTTTTTTTTCCTGCAACAACAACTTAATTTGAGTCTGAGATGGTTAAAAGTGTTTTCTGTGTGACTCAGTGGAGCTGCGATACACATTTTCTAGTTCATTTGAAAATATTTAGCATTTCAGACAATGTACTATTTCATTTAGATCAGTTTGCATTCTTTACAGATATTATGAGATGCAACAATTATCCTGTTCTTAAAAAGAGAAATGAACATCTGCTTCCATTACTTATTTTCTGTCATAATGATCTGCTACAAATAACTTGTATTAGATAAACAAAAAATAAAGGAGAGATTAAACTACATTATGGTTTCTGCTGTTTTTGTGAAGATACAAAAACTAGCGGAACCGGAAATACCCCACAATAAAAGTATTCTTTAAAACATCACATATATCTATGAAAGTTCAATAATTAACTAAAACAAAATTATCAAATTAAGAATATAGCAAGTACTAATAATTTATTAATACAAATATATTTTTAAAACTTCTTCAACTTTTAAGTGACCATGAAAAACGACGGTTTAATTTGGTAAGACCGGAAGTCGATTGCTAGAAACATTTTTATCTTGATGTTTAGCGGCTTTCGTGATGTCATTTAGTAGAAAACGATAAACGACGGAGCGCGACGACATTTAGACTCAACTAGACAGACAACATTTTAGTTGTGTTGAAAGTTTTTCTACTAATAAACCCCGAATGGGAAAAGATGAGACGGTTTCCCTGTAATGGTCAGCGAAGTCAAGTGCAACACTAGCTAACGTTGAAACACAGCGAGGGAATCATCGTATTCACAGTCACCCAAACATGATTTGATTGACTGCAAAATGAAACTAACAGATAAAGAGTTTATTGCTATGCAGTATAATCCACTATCTGTTAAACCAGGAGCATCTTTTAGATTGATCTACAGGACAGCAACACTTGGGATTAACCGTGTCTTCTGCTCCGTGTGTGCATCCAGCCGATGCAGTTTATTTAAACCAGCCGCTGCATCTGAAGGCAAAGAGGGAAAACTTACCTCGTAAAGCTGTCGATTCGCAGAAAGTTTGAAGTTCGTCTCACTTTTTTATTTTCATTGTGAAAAGTACTTCCTCTTCGCCTGGCTCCGTTTCTGTTCGACACTTTGCCGGACTCATCGAGCCCGTCAGCTCAGCCAATCAGCGTCGAGAGGTTCGGTGAAGTTGTCCAATGGGAGAGCCCATCCCGCAATCCCCTCAACCAATCAGATTTTAAAAATAGCTCTCGCAAGCCAATCAACACGTATAATGATATTTTATAGTATATTCAGCATAGGAAATAATTAATGTTAATCAATTATCTAATATATTTAGATAAACTGAAACATTTCCACATAGAAATTTGCAGAAGGGCTCTCAGGCAACAAGCAAGACCCTGAACAAGAACAACAATAATAGGCTAATATATTCAATTTATAATGCACTTTGCATTTAACCCTTTATAGGGCAAGTTACTGTTTTTGTTCACTTGCATACTCCTTACAAATGGATGTGAGGTCTAGAATCACAAGATCTATATCCAGGCATTCAGCAAAGATACTGCTACATGGCTGTACATCTTATGTTGCATTTGACCAATAAGATGAGCCCTTGAATTATATATTACCTACTTTAAATAATTTGAAAAAAAGTTAACAAGTCAAGAAAAAAAAGATAAAAAGCTGATTGAAAAGTTAATAAGCCTATTTAACAATTATATTGATGTTTATAAACTAAAAAATGTAAGTGTCCGTATCAGCATTAATGCCTCTAAGGTTATGTTGTACCAAAAATAATGTGTTTGTTTTTCATGAATATTTTTTTACAAAAGCACTTTTTTTTATTTTTCTTAATATATTCGGGCAAGTTGGTGTTTCCTGTTATTACATTTTACATTGATTTTTGCCATCAAAATATCCATATTTTTTTAATGTTACAAAGGTAATATTGTCTTGTCCTGGATTAAAATAACACAACACATAACTTTTGATTGAAATTTTGATTTTTCAAGTATTTCACTGAGTGCCTTAAAACAAATCTCAATGTTCTACAGTTGCATAAGGACATTGAAATGTTGATTTTAAATACACAAAACTAAAAGCAAAAAAAAAAAGAGCATTTAAAGGAAACTGTTACAAGTAGTGTGGGAAATAAAGGAACCAGGAACACATTACTGCCACATGTAATCCATCTCCAGCTGGATAATGACACACCATCTGGTAAGGAAATAAATAGCTTAGATTAAAGATTATTTGAACCTTGGTGTGCCCAGTCTAAGCCCAAATCGAGATTCAACCCACATTCTAAACATAATAATTCCGTCCTTACATTCAAAAGAATCAGAGAATATGAATTGAAATGAATTTAATCATTTAACATAAAGGGGTTTGCAGCAGCGCCAAAAAGGGCATCAGTCAGATTGGAAAGAAACTTCTGTAAGAAATGCTCAGTAGCCCCAGCCTGAAAAGAAATGGTCTAAATGTCTTTTACCAGAATGTGTGCATGTGCAGTTATACATGTTACCTCCCATTTTCTGACCCTAGGCTCATACAATTCCTGCTGGGGAAAAAGGTCAGCTCTGATGATCCTCTCTGCAGACCTAATTGTTAATTGTAGATTAAAAATTCAGTTTCATTGCTACATGCTGATGAATGTGCACAAACAAGCCTGTTTCCTGCTGGTTGCCAGTTGAAAAGGTGTTCTGAAGGATGTTGGGGGATACAGTTTGTGTAATCCCCAGTCCGCAGTCTTCGGTAGGTTGCATCAGAAAAGCAAATTTCCTTTAATTTCACCATTACTGCTTCCAGTTGCCTATGACACAAAATCACACCTCATTGCTTCTCAGATGTTTGTGTTTGTTTATGTGCCAATATGTGTAAAAGGTGTCCCAGTTGCTAAAGGCTTTCACAAATTATCCTTATAACTACCCATCTAACAACAAGTTTTTCATTGCATTGGCTTTTCACTCTTGCCCTATAATTATACAAAAAAACTTAAATCAGTAAACTGTAGGTTGTCAGATAGATTTCTATGGAATTCTAGAGCAAAAATTAAAAAGCAGTTGTGAACTCTTGCTAAAGAAAAAGTGATATTCAAGGAAATAATAAGGCTGAAATATTTACAATTATCAAGCCGTGGTTTACTTTCGTAGTAAGTGAGGATTTAGTATCTAAAAATACAACTCTTATTTCCTTTATGTTGTTCTATCCACTGAGGAGATCGATGACATAGTTGCTAGACCATTTCCAACCACAAGATGGCGCCAGAATTACACCGTCAAAAGCCTCAGAACGTTCTCGCTTCGTGACACAAACATGAAATGTAGAGTATTTACCGGTATATAAAATCTTTTAACATGTTTTATAATAAATATGCTGAAATGGTTACTTTATGGATCTATTATTGAGACTCTAGTAAGATCTGTGATTAAGGCAGAGCTGTTCCTGCACCACCTGTTGCTGCTTACTGCTATAACATGGCTGCTTTGCTGACAAAAAATAGGGGCTGTCTCCTATAGGCAATTTCTTCTGTTTCATACTGTTTTGCAATATTTCATAGCTAATCTTAGATAAAAAGGAATATCAAAAAAACTATATAACTGATTGTTCTACTATTGACAGCAACAACCACTATTAAGTGTTTGTGATAATTGTATAACATATCTGTTCAGAGATAATTGATGATTGTTTTCTGGCATAAAGTTCCATTTTAACTCCACAACACAAGAATTTCTTAAGAATTACACTTTTAAAAAGTTACTCCAGACCTAATTGTTTATTGTTGTCATTTGAGGCCATTCTTTGATGGGCTTGATAATGTGCTTTACATTATGAATCTTCTACCCTAACCCCTCAAGATCCACTTTCCTGCATGTTTTAATCTTTTTGCTCCCCCCCACATTCATGCTTTAAATAAATGGGTGATTTTCAGCCTCTGCAGACGGTTCCTATACTATACCTGGTCTGAGCTCCTTCCTAACTGATAGCACTTGTTATGATGACAGCAGACACTTTTTTAGGTTTTCTTATCGGGCCTATATCATGCAGGACAGTGGGTCCTGAAGACCCACCAGATTAATGCTTTCTATCATTATTGTAGCTAGTATTATAATGCAGCATATTATATGGACATACTGAGCCATTGTCTCACTAACATTTCATCATTTTTACATAATGACAATAAAACTCTTGAATCCATCCATCTTCTGCTGCCTATTTATCGGGGTCATGTTGCCTATGTCCAGCAGTATATGGGCTTAAGGTGGAGTACACACTGAACTGGTAGTCAGTTTGCTCATACACACCAGAGAGCAATTTAATGATTCCAATCCACCTGATAGTCACATTTCTGAACTATGGGAGGAAGCCAGAGTACCCAGAGAGAACCCATGCATGCACAGGGAGATATGCAAACTGCATGCTGAAAGACCCTCTGGCAGGATTCAAACCGAGGACCTTCTTACTGCAAGGCAACAGTGCTAAAAACAGCCCCGTTTTTGACTCCAAGGCTGCTTTCATCTACTGCTGGTGGGTCAAGTTTTAAAGGAAGAAACCAGCCCCACACCACCACACTATCACTACCGTGTTTGAGCATCGGTACAATGTTGCTTCTGAAATGCTATGTTAGTTTTGCAAAAGATATAATAGAAATGTTAAGCTTTAAAAAAAACTACACATTTTTTTTTCACATCAGATCACAGGGAGCATAGAGGCGTTATTTGTAGAAATGCTTTTGTTCTTTTGGTCAGATTCCTCATCCCAAAGATACCATTACATCTTTTCTTATGTTCTGTTCATCTGTAGCAATTTAAAGTGTTTTTGTTACTAAAACTGTGGGACTAAACAGACCTGAATGTGCCTAAAGGACAAAAAACAATTAAAGTCTAATTTCATTGGTGAGCTAACTAAGCCAGCTAGATTCCAGTCTTAATAGCATTTCCTCCTGGGTTTAACTCATATTAAGTCAGGCTTCTTTTCCCTTGTAGTTAAATGTGTTTGACTTTTTAAATTTAAGTGAGGCTTAAAAGCAAAACACACAAAAATTCGAAATTTTAAAATAAACTTTTCTGGCAATCACAAGAAAACAGAGTCATGACGCTATAGAAAAGGTAATTAAATACAAACAAAAAATGAATTTCAAATGTTTTTATTAAAGTTGCATAAAAGTGTAACAAAATTGGGCAAAAAACAAAACCAGTTTCTCATATTGCTACATTTGTTTGTTTGTCTAATCATTAAAAAAACAAAACAAAGCAAAACACTGCCACTATTACTCCATTCTGCATGGTTTAGCTCTTGTATTTAGCCTCAATGATCATCAGCATACAATATTTGATTTTTTTTTTTTTACATTTTCACCAACAGTAAGAAAAAGAAAAACATCATACTTATCAATAACAGTCTAAGAAGATATATATTTAATCCAAAACCTGAATTTAGAAACATAAAATCCACTCAAATTCAGCTGCTGATTGAAGTTGCCTAAAACAATCTGACCAATAAGAGGAAACCGCAGAGAGCTCAGTCTGGAAATGCCACAGATAAAGACAAAAGCAATCGCACCGGAAATATGCATCTGAATGGATTTTTTGTTATTGTTGTTGATTAGCTAACTGTTATTCCAAGGCTTGGCATCAAGAGGTGTGATGATCACGATAAAAACAGACCAGTCTTACATGGGTCAGAGTGAATAACATTGTTTACCTAAAACAGAATCGTTTCAAAAGGCCTAAGTATTAAACACTCACTTCTAATAATAAAAAAAGAAACATTTTGAAACAAGGAGTGACAGAAGATAACAAATTCTCCACATAATGCAGAGCTTCTTGCAAAAGTATTCACTCGCATTTCACTTTTCACATTTATTCATGTTAAACCGCAAACCTCCATAAGTATTTTATTAGGACTTCATTTGATGAACTAACATTGTTTTTGCTAATAAAATATGGGAAGTGTGGAATGCATTTTAATTCTGCCGCATTATTCCAACACCGTAAAACAAAATCCCACAGCTTTGAATGCTTTACATCAACCAGAAATGGAAAGGTTGGCCTAATTGGTTAGCAGTCATCAGAGAAGCAGGAGAGAGAGAGAGTAAGGATAACTGTGGAGGAGCTTCTGAGATAAACAGCTCAGGTAGGAAAAATATACGTTGTGGATTGTACATATCTCTCCAGTTTGCAACAACAGGACTAAGACTGTAATTAGAGATCATAATTAGACATTACTTTTTGTTGAACTGTCATAAAATCCTATTAAAATTGAGTGGAGTTTATGGTTTTAAAGATGATAAAATGGGAAAACTTTCAAGGAGCATTCATACTTTTGGAAGGCAGTGTAGATCTGCTGAGTAACAGAAAACTGAAGTACTCCTGTTTGGTTTTTTTTGGTTTGTGTAACATAAATTATACCTAAGGCAACATTTGATTAAAAGAACGAAAAGAAAAATGGAAGTAAGGGAAGGAAAAAGGTGCAGAAATGAGAGAGCAGCAGCGTGTAAATGGGCTATATCTGAGAGGACAGTTAAAGGTCTGTAACGGCAGGTGCAGACGAATCGCGAAAAATGCCAGCGCTGCTGTTGGCCAGCAGGGTCTCAGGCTCTGATCTGATTGGTTGGCGATCAGAAACAGATGGCTTGTTCTTTGCAATGGTGTGTTTTTGGGAGGGAGGAGATGAAGCTGCAGCTGTGGACGCATGTCAGCTCTGCCTGTGCACCTGGAAATAAAACTGACACGTCTCAGATGCGGGTGAGTGAAGAAAGAAGTAAAAAAAAAAAAGAAGAAAAGGCTTAACGGATCAAAGATGATTCAGTTTGAAACGAAGCAACAAAAAGAAGAGAAAACAAACTCCCCCCTCATTTCTGGACATCGTATTGGTGATTCTACTGGCGTGTGACAATCAAAGGAGGGAGCCTGGAGAAATGACATATCCGTTTAGAGAAAATGGGAAGTAAATAACAGAGGAAGTGATGTCAGGTTATTGTGGTGTGATTTTTAAAAAGGCAGCTTTTCAACAGGGTTCCCCTTTATGACTATCAGTTTGTGATTGACTAGAAATAAAAACAGGAACCAGTCCTATATCCCCCTTCCCTCCAAAAAAAAAAAAAAAAAACACAATCCAGACAAATCTGTCCTACACAACAGCAGAATATACAGGCCCAGAAACACTCCATACTATGACAGATGTTGCTGTACATTATGTAGCAACATACACTAATAATAACACAGATATACATGTGTATGTGCAGGCTGAGGAACAAAACATCCCTTTAAGCCTAAAAGAAGAAGGAAAAAATGTTCTGGTCTAGCTTCAAATACAAAAACGGTTTATTTTAAGGTCTAAAGCAGGTCTTACAGCCAAACGGCTAACCAGTGAGTCTTTCTAAATGTTCAATCACTATTTCCAGGCATCAAAGTTTCCTCTTTGCTCTACTAAAGATAGATTTACACAACGCTTTGTGGTCAAAAGGTTCAGATTTTCTTCCACCAGAAATGACACACTGCAGGTTTTTATTCAAAAGGGCATATATCATCATGTTAGAGCCAGAAAACCTATAAAAACCCTGACCAACATAAAAACTTGTCCTTTAAAATGGGATTTTATATTAAAAAAAGACCCTTTACTAAAACAGGAAGGCACTACCATATATGGATGATGACGTAGAGTCTGAAAACCTCTTATGGTAATCACAAAAAGAGAGTTTTCACAATAAAAAATACCTTTATTAAGGCGTATGTGAAAAAAATGTGTGGTCGCTTATTTGGTGGCACCAAAAAAAAAAAAAAGGAAAAAAAAGCAGCGGGTATTTTTTCCCTCACAGTTAAAGAGAGATTTTCACCCTTTTTGCCCTTGGATTATGAAGCCATAATTATCTGGATTAAAAGTAAATACATAATCCAAAGCTATAGGGATGAAGACACAAGACAACTCATTCCACGGTTAAGACGAATGGCTCAGGCAGGGAGTCGACAGGCAGACCAGGGTGACTTTCATACTGTATGTATATATAAAGTTGACCAGCTATGAAAATGTCTGTCTGAGTATCTCAGTCCTCATCATTCCCCTTCTGGAAGCAACTTTATAGCATTAGCTTAACTTTCTAATAGCCAAATACACAGTAAACTAACACAAAAGAAGACTAAATTATTATGAAAATTGAGATTTATACACTAACTGAATGAAGCATCCAGGTGGGACAGCTCTTGGATAAATGAATAGTCAGAACAGGAGCAGTAACTGAAACTTTTACCCTAAAAGCCACCCTAATTTCAGTGTCCTACATGGTAGTTTTTGTTTTTAATCATAAACTGATATTCTTTTATTTGCTTTCATGATATACATAAAAATATGACTTGTTTGCATTAAGGATGTAGGAGCTTTTTCTGATTCCCCACTGCAGTAGATTATAGGAAGACTTCCTCATGGAGCTTTTAAAATCCTCTGAAGTGTGCTGGTTTGTTAGGTTTCTACTACCCTTAAACATTTCCCTTGATTTCTGTCTTCTTACTGGAAAAAAAAATAATAATTCAAACTAATTTTTACCTTTTTAAGTCTGTTTTGAGGATTTTTGTTCTTTGTCTTTTTCTGGAAGTGTTTTTAACGACTGTGTGTGTGTATTTAATATGCATTTTTAACAAACGTCTCCCAGAAAGAAAAAAAAATCCTTATGGTTTATAATGACAGTACAAGCCTTGACTGATTGACTCTGCTTTAGTGGTCGGTATTCATGGTATTATGGCCTGACACCAGAGTTCAGTGGTTAAGCATAATTTAGCTGCTCCGCATTAATTTTTCGCTAGTCACTTAAAAAAAAAAAAAAAATCAGTTTTAATCATGAATGCAGAATGAATGCAGCTACTGTGAGCAATAAGCCTGGACACAAAGGAAGTAGTAAAAAAATGATGATATATGCCCTTAGGGACACAGAAAAAGTCTTAATGCAGCACTGCCTGTGTTCAGGGGGATAAATAGAGCCCCACAGAGATGATCTAAAAATGTTAAGGTAAAGTGATGATCCTCATGCCCTTAAACAGAAACAGGAAATCAAAACAGATCTCTAAATGGAGATAAACAAGTTGCGATATTCACATAATCTCGCTGGTAGAGGCTGAAGTATTTGTTACATCTGTATCCTTCTCCATTCTCAGTTTTTTGTGGTGGTGGGCCTGTATTTTTCATGTTCTTCCCACTCCATGCAACCCCGCTTTTACAGTAATTATGGGACTCTGTTCCTCCACAGGCAGATGGGAAAGTGGGAGGAAGAGGAGAAAGATTAGGAGGAGAAGCGCCAATAACGGCAGGCGAGGAAACAATGAGGAAGGAGAGAGGTTGGATTATAACAGACAAGTTACCTCGCAAATTATTCATTTCTGCTGAAGAGAGTCCAAATCCATGGAGGTAAATTAAAGTGGTTTAACTATAAGCTGAAACAAGGGTAGGCTGTAATACATCATGACCTTCAATGGAAGAAGACATTAAATAAAGAATAAATGGGGCAATGAGGGAAGACGAGAAGTGAGGGCTGGAGAGGACGGGAAAATGTGGGGCGAAAGGAAGGATGCCATCATTTCTTCTGAGGTGTAGAGAGCTTCTGCATTCCTCTGATTTTGTCAAGCAGCTCTGAGATGAAGTCCTACATGAAGACAAGGAGAACCGGACTCACAATGTGCTTGTATACCAAGTAAATGGAGCTAAAGCAGAGGATAGAAGCCAGTTACTTTACCTCAGTAGGTTTAAAGCAGTCAACCAGTAAGTCCTGTAATATAATGAAATAAATTAACGTAAACTCGATTTCCTTTTTATCCCCCATGACTGTTATAATCTGGATTTTTTCCTCACCTTGACTCTGGCTGCTCGCTCAACGTCACTGGGCATGTCCAGCAGTTCATCAACATCGATTTCCAGCTCCGGGATGGCCTCCTCCTGGAGCAATGACAAAATAGTAGAAACATTCTGATTAATGTACACTTTAAACACTAGAGGGCAGCGGACACTCATCACACGCCTCTGAGAAAGAAAGGGGAGACACAAAGAAACCAGAATACGGCCAGCTTAGTGATTGAGAGTTTGCAAAGAGAAAAAGTATAGGTTTAATCAATTGTATCAGACTTATCAGACTTAAATTAGGAATTTTTCAAAAATATCCCACTATACAACACGTAATGCGTAAAAAACTGCAACATCAGTATTAAAACTGCAAAGTGGCATATTAGATACAAGCTATGGAGGTAATTATTTCATGGTTCCATCTGCCAGCAACACAATATTAGAACTAAGCAGACTCAAATAGTTTAAAGACAAGGATATACAGTTATATGTGATTTAACACCTTATCTTAAAACCATATAATCTGTATTTTCGCCTTAATAAAAAAAAGTTACATTTTAATCAGTCTTGTTAGCCTGTGTTACTTTAACAGATTAATCAGCTCTGAACAGTGATTTTAAAGTCAGATGCTGAAACTATCTAAACTTTTCCCTCCTGTCCAACTTTTACGTTACAATTTTAAAAATGGATCTCACCCTTTAAAAAGTATTACTGACATGCAGAGCACGAATGGAGGAAAGGGAAGATGTGATTGGGCCACTGAATACCGCAAATATAGGGACCAAGCGTTTAGCTATTGTGATACGACTGATGTTGCAGTGAGAACTGTGAGTCTGATCAGCTCTAGATTGATAGATTTGAATGAATGGGCAATTCATTCCTTATGCAATATATTACAATTTCACAAAACACAATTTTCAAATGGCAGAGGATATAAATTTCGGTCACATTACATTTAACAAGAGTACAGTAGAGACTAAATTTCTCACTCCAGCCCTTTAGGTGGCAGTGTTACACTTAATGTGGGATTGCTCCATAGAGAAGGAAAGAAAGAGAAGCAACTAGCATACAGCATGATGGTAGAAATAAGAAGATTTTCAGTAGTGATGGTGAGATGACATGAGGCATTGAACCATTTGGCCAAATTGCTTCAACGATCCCCACAGTTCATGAAGCCTCATGTGGACATGTCACCACCTACTGGTAAGGTGCAGAACTACAGTCTGTAATAAAATCAGATTTTTTGCAATTGTTTTTCTTCTTCTACAGATTTGAAACAGTTACAAAAATATATTTTATTGTGATATTATAGATGAAAATGACTATAAATAAGATTACAAATTACCTACGGACATTTCTCTCTTTAGCACTCTTAACGACCTTTAGCATCTCAGTCGCTAATATAAGTATCTAGTTTGGGCTTTACAGGCAGTCCTATAGCTGGACCCATATCTTACAGATATGAAACCCCTGAAATAAAACCACTTGAAAAATAATTTCCGATCACATTTTGCATTTAAGCATTTCCCTAGGAGTTTAAACATCGCAAGGGCATTAGGATCATGAGTATGCACAGCTCTGTGTGGAGGTCAAATAAAACTCGGCTGAAAATGTAGCCTTGAGAAACCCAACATTTGGTCTTTCACTGAGTTTTCTCAGCTTAACGATCATAAAATGACAAGTAAAATCTGAACCAGTTTATCACAGTACCAGACCTTCCGACCGGCTTTTCAATCAATGTCCAAATGAAGATAATTTTGGATAAATCACAAAACATGAACAGAAATGTGAAGAACCTGGAGAACAGTCACTCCAGTGTTTGTTTCACTGTCAGAATTAGTCTTCAGTGTGATTTTTCAAAGTAGTACAACACAAAAAATCCCCAAATGCAAACTCTTTTTTTGATTCAAGCCTTCATTTCTTCCTCTTTTAAGCTCAATTGCTACTCTACGCTCATGTTGTTCTCCAGGAATCTCGCCGTCGCTCCGGTCCTCCCCCTCAGTTGGAGTTGCCCACACCAGCTGTCTCTGCACCTGCCCAATTAAACCCCCCCCACCACCAACCCCATAACCCTCGCCTATCTCCACCATACAAATACGAAATCCACAACCAGTCGACAGGATGCAGAGTCTGCACAGCCGAGTGTCAGATTAATAGGCCAGTCTGGATTTAGTTTCCTTTTTGGTGAAAATGTGCACGCTGCTTTTTCAGTGTAGGGATTAAGGAATTATAAAATGAGCTAAATAAGTCTGAGATGGTGTGCTTTTAATCCTGCACAGGACAGCCTGGGTGTGTGTGATAGAGACTGAAAGTGACAGATAGACCTACTGTCAGCAAAGAACTGCAAACAGACTGAATGTAAGAATCAAAGTAGATGGTAAAACAGCATCAGAGTTAGGAAATATACTGGAATAATGCACCAACCCTTCGGCTACTGAAGCTAAAGTCGGACACAAAGAAGGATCTGCCAACACGTGGTCTCCATGTGCCTCCACGTGGTTAAAAAACAAGCCACAACTAACAAACGGCTATGTTATGAAGAGCTACCTTTTATCTGTGAAAATAATCCCGTCTTTTAAGTCATGGTGAGGCTAGTTAAATATTTAACATGACGTTTAATGCTGTCGACTAGACAGAGATTTAACAGGCGGTGTTAAGCAGTGGAGGGAAGGGGGAAGGGAATGCCGAGAGGAAGGAAGGTAAGAGGTTAAGGAGCCAAAGGAGAAGAGACTGCAGCTGAGTGGAGCTCCCTGAAAGAGCGAGGAGGAGCAGGGGAAGGAGACGAGGACATGCTGCGGGGATAAAAAAAAAGGCCGGAAGACAGGCTTCAGAGAGGAGACACAAAGAAAGCCGGGAATCATGAGGGAGGATTTCCAAAACAACCCTCCAGTCTGACTGACTGGGTGTCTAGAAGGAGGGAATGCACCGTTGTCTGCAGATGTGGCCTGGTATAAAAGCTGCCTGCAAGATACTGGCAGGGTCTACAGGGGTTGAGGCAAAGCAGTGTGATGGAGGACAATCAAAGAGATCCAAAAAAAGATGAAAAGATCAGCTTTATCCTGAACTCCCAGCATAAAATAAACTATATTTCCCTTTTATCCTGGTACTAACCTTTGATGCAGACAAAGATGTGAAAGAAAGATTTTACAGGAAGCGCTTTAGCCAGATATGGAAAAAAAAAGGACAAAACTGAGTTAAAAGGCTCTATTTTTACTGCAACTAACCTATATTGAGGCAAATTGCCAGTTTCCTTCAGTAATAAACAAACACACTGGTTTAACAGAAAAAGCTTTAGGGAATCTGTTTTCAACAAACCCCCAAGAAACAGAAAAGCTCCCATCTCTGACATGTTAGTCCCAGTGAACATGGCTGATGGGACAAAGAGAGGATGCAAAAACAATCATTACTAACCCTTACATTAAAAGGAGTGTATTTGTTTTTCATTATTAAAACTGTAGCATAAATCCAGACAGCAAACTGGAAGCAACACCTTTTATTAACTGGTGCATTTGTTGGTTGAAAACTATCTAGATGTTTAAATTATATCAGTTTTATAGGCTTCGTTCTGCTACTCTTTGCAAAATTATCCAAATCCTGGCAGATTTTGGATTATTTTAATTAAACACATTTTATTAGTAGGAACTTTATAAACTTTCAGTTCGGTGGAAATTAAGCTATAACCAGAAATATCAATTAGGATTAAGTACTTAAACATGGAAATGATTGCATTTAAGGACAATACTGACAATAGCTGTATAAAAACAAAAGTACTTCATAGGTCCTAATCTCATTTTGGTATCTAACTGAAATAAATTATTCTTATTTAGGCTGTGTTCTTATGAAAAATTAAACAAAATATGAATATTGTTAAATATAATATGGAATAATAATATGCAAACAGAGAACTTAGTGAAAAGTGTTAGAATGCAGCTGGGCAGCATTAGGATTCTGCTGGTTCTGTTCACTCGGGTTCCTGCAGCAGTACTCTTCTGCGCTTTAATTAGCTTACAGTTTAATTCCTCAAATCATCTGGGCTCAGCGTGACTGTAACCTTGCTTCGGAGTCGCTGTAGTCTGTGAACGCCAGAGTTGAGCAGGATTTAAAACCTGCAGGAATCAGTAAACCCAAACCTTCTCCGTTTCCTTTTAGAGCCATACGGATTTTCTTTGCTCATCTGTGGCCCTTTTTTCTCAGATTTGCATGTTTTAATTTCTCTCTGCCAGCCCATCGCAAAAGACTAGGAAGCTTGACATAGATCGCTGTAAATGCAGTCCTAAAACGTACCTTGGTTAAATCTTCTAACAGAACAGAGGCCTTGATCCTAACCAGGATCTGCCATTTGAAGGTATCTCACCTCCCTGAAGGAGGCAGTTCAGACTAATGTACTTATAACATAGTGGTGCTTACCGCTGTTTTCTTTTCATCAAAGAAATAAAAGCCCAGCGTGTAGCTTAAAGCCTCTACTGGATGTAAATGAGGAGCATCACCTGAGGAACACACAGCATCCTGGCCCACTGCCCAGCTGTATCATTGTGGCCTTTAAATTAAATTACGTTCTTCCTGACAAGCTTGCAAATATGATTCACACAGAGGCAGGAAACATGGAGATAGGGCACCAGACGGCCCCGCCGCTCATCTGGAGGCTTCCTGTCCCACAGAGCAAGGCTCACATGTGACAGTATGGTGGAGTGGTCTCTGAATGCTCTGTGTGTGTAGATCAGAGCATCTTCAAGATATGATACACAGTTATGATGTAATCATGTACTGCAGAGCAGTAAAAGCTGCATGGAAACATTTCTGGATGTTACCGTACATATAATTTGTTTATTTAACAGTTTAACTGCACAAAGTCAGAGTTTAAAGGTCACTACCATCTAAAGATACAATGATTTCAGCTTTTTTAGACTGCTTCTTGATTATTTCAACAACTTTGTTTTTTGTTTTTTTTCTCAGAGTCATATAGGGAACCCGAGAAGCTTAAATACCTGTTTGAGTTAGAAATTCATCTCAATTCACAGTAAAGGATCCTTTTTACTCAAGGTAGCACATGATTTATGAGCCTTTTCCTGACCATCAATAGAGATCTTAAAGGTCCT